ATCTGCGCGTCTCTTATACATTTTTTCTTTCTTTCTTATGTAGCTAAAATAAGAAGCGACTAGCTACCTAACATCCTTGTCAAGCGGAAAATTAAAGCTAATGAAAGTAAACATCCTTTGTCGGAGAACTTTCGCGGTCTACGTTAGCAAATGCTGACAGCAGCCAGGCAACGCCTTGCTATTTTCCAAGTTACATTCTCCTTTGAACAGTCGCTTCCCCTACAAACATGGCCCCGCAGAGTTACCTAAAAATTACGCATATTAGTGCATTCGTCTTGTCATCCAGTATTCGACTCTAAACTTAAGTATCTGTGAAAGAAAATGTTATTTCAGGCAAAACACGAAAATATTACAAGCGTAACTTAATACAATAATTTTTTCTCAGATATCAAGGCTTCGCTCTAAAATTATGCAGAGGAGTGGTACTAAGAGTTGGGATTGAAGATCTCAGTGGACCAAGGTTCTTGTAGAGAAGCTAATAGTCGCTCATGTGGCAATGATTTTATGGATGCAACATTTTCATTGCAGTGTATACAAGTTCCCGACACTCGTACATACCCAGTTAAATCCTATTTCTATCTACCTGTTCTATTTTGTCCAATATTCATTCTAATATCATACTCTCTCGTGCTCCTCTGTCTTCTAAGACCTATTTTCAAATGAAACCTCGTAAAATTTACTCTAATAAAAGCATTAAACTGTAGTTGAAACATTATAATTTTGTTTTAGCCCATTAAAGCCTGTTGGTACATACATGTCCCACATGCTTCGTAGACTATAGGTCTGAAACTTTTTTTGTTTTGTTTTGTATAATTCTCAGTGGAAACAGTGATTATATCCTGAAACAAATTTAACATACTGATTTTTTAGATTCTGAAGTGTTATATTTTCTTTCTAATCGAAATGCTTGAAGTTGTAAAACAGCCTATGTGGAACTGTTTGGAACTTAGGATTCCACCTAGAACTTTCAAGCTGTAACGTTGTGTTCACTGTTCATGTGTCGAAGGTGAACAAAAGAGGGCATTACGGCAGAGTAAAATTATGTTGATTTCGGAAGTTTAAATTGAATGTAGGAAGGTAAATACCTTTCCGATATATGTACTTATATGATTGCATCGCGTTTCGTATTATGTACTTTCTGAACCACAAATCAATTAGCATTTTAAATGTACGAAATTTTAAGCGTGATGTTCGACGAACTAATTCAGGAAAAACATACAAAATTTTTTATTATTTTTGGACATTTTCTTTAGTCGGATCAATAAACCTTCAGATTAAAGTTATCCACACACTCGAAAATATCTGTACTAAATTATTTTGCCGACTGGGAACTAAGTATATTGAACAGTTCAGTGACTGTTAACTTTTGGAAAAAATATTCTGTTCCACTGTGCTAGTCTGTCTGTTTGTCTGTCGCGTTTCTTTACTGTAAATGCTGCTGCTATCGAACTATACGTTTTCAATCAACGAACAGTCACCACATGGCAATCACAACAGCACACACACACACAGTGATTATATACCTTGTTTGTTTAGGAGCTGATTGGAGTGGGAACAGATATTACAGGATGCGAGGTTGGCCTCTAAATCTACCAGCGCACGGTACTGCAATGTAAAGATGCAGGAAACCTGGACTCATTGCTCCTCTGAACTCTGAAGTCGAGTAAATTTGCTTTAATCCTGGTCTTATAGGTCGCGACGCATTGTGGACATGTAGATCTCGACGTTTCCGAGATACATTCAATCTATATTCAGGGCTGGAGACAGTGTGTTTGTGCGAAACGTTGGTAACTACTTGCAAGTTAGCTCGGCGTTACAACCCAGAAGACCAGCTTCGAATTCGTGACCGCCGTCAGAACCTCATAACTTCCAATAAACACATTTTGTGCGCCAGAAATAATTTTGGTGTTTTAAGGAATTAACTGCGTGCCCGGTTTATTAAATTGATTTATCCGTCGATGAAACCTCCAGAGTATGAAGTCCAAAATATATAATTCAAATTTCGACCATGCATTCCAACTTTTGAATATTACCAGACCAGCAATGATCTAATTCAATTATCAGCTGGTCGCAAGCCCGATTAGACCCCTGCGTTGCCCCGTGTTACGCACCGCGATCCTTATAGCCAGATGCAGCGGACGAAGGACGAAGGACGAAGCGAAGGTCCTTGTATTTGGCCTCCATCAGCATGACTCAACAGTTGGGCGTGGAACGTCACATTCGACCAGCGTTTTAGAAAGGGTTATTCCTTCAGAAGTGTGGGGAACCCCCCGGAAATAATATTAATTGAAATTGTGATCTCAGCGTATCAACTTACACTTGCCATCGATATCATGCTGGTTCTCGAAACCCAAACAGACACAAGAGTGTCCAGGGCGTTTACCCTTCTGTTCCTTAAAAATACTTATCCGATTAGCATAACAGTAGATTTATAATACAGACGTCGATTATATTTAGCTCTGAGTGAAACACTTGGACACAGCTTGTATATACCTGTCGCAAGATATCTCCGAGCTTTCTTAAGCGATACAAATACACGCATTATTGACCGGCTAACCCTTGGACGTTAGGGAGGGAGGGAGGGGAAGCCATAGCCCGGAAGGCTCTTGTTCCTTCCCCCTTGTCTTTTAAACGTTCCCTTCCCATTTTACTGTGACGTACCTCAGGCTTGCAGATCGTGTACGGACAACATGATAAAAATCCGTAACATGTACAGAAATAGATTTGTGAAAGGCAGGTATGGGGAATATATTTTGGAGGCCAATAGAGGATGTGAAAAGTTGAAGAGAATTTCAGTGAAGAAATGGTATTTCAATTCTTAATATTAAAGTTGTAATGCTAATCTAAAAGAACGTTTCTTTAATGCACGAACTCAAATAAGATTGGAGTTCACCCTGTCCGTAAAAATTGTGAACGACTAATTATGGAACGTAGTAGACAGCTTGTAAATTGAGCCAGTTAGTTTTACTTGGTGTTTATACGATTACTTATAGCAGAGAAGGGTCTTTATTTTAAATTGTATACGGTTTTGTGAGTCATTGCGGATTAAAACTCTTCTGAAAGTAACCCCACGTGGTTTAGGGCATACATTTATATTACTAATATAAGACTTTTAAGCCGTTAATGACAACTTTGAATCAATTTCATGCTGTGTAATGCCATTTGAGTGACTACTAGTGAATTCACAGCACAATTTCGTTACACGCCTTCTGGTGTGTGGTTTCACTGACATCTGACATCTGATATCCTTTATCAATTAGTAAATTGGATGCACATTGATACTGTGATCTAGCAGTACAGTAAAGACGTCACTGAAGCAATCAAAAGCGTGAATTCTGTTGAAACAGTACGACTCTGCGTATTGCTGTGTGACGTTTACTAGCGTCACCAGGAATTTAATTCGATTGGTAGTACACATATGTGGGAGGGGCATTTCGAACATCCGTTAACCACAAAACTGCAATTAATGAACGCCACTTCGCCTAATGACACCCTGGGCCTACCTGTTCTGCGTCGGTGTGTATGTGGTTATGGAACAGTATGGCTTGCCATAACCTAACACTTCTGTGACATTCTGTCCTGGAGTTTCGACAACGTTATGTAGGACAGTGCTATGATCGCAGAAACATTGATCGGACATAAAATTCATGAACAGTTTGTATGGAAATTCTTAATCTTGGTAGAATCCCTTATGCCTTTACAAAAGTATTGAGATATTGTTCCAGACACACTAGAAGGCCATCACAGCAGTGGGTAATCAGTTGTACTGGGCGCAAAGTATCTGCGTGTTTGTTACGACCTGGTTGAACTATGGCCTCCATGTTTTTCTTTTTCGAAATTCGCATTCTGTCTTCAGCCATATTGATACATGACTAGAAGAGACCTGCAGTCGGTCTCTGCATGAATATGTAGTTCGCCGGCTACTTCCAAGTTTATGCAACCGAAATACTGGTCTCGCATAAACAATAAGGTAAATGTATATTGTTTAACGTTGTACTCTATCATTCTGACGCCGGTGGTGATTGCAAATAACAAATACTTCTGTCGCAAAGGACTCGTAGTGAATGCTGTGAATTCGTGGAAGGTAAAGGAATATAATTTAACAGCTTTTTATGAAGAGAAACCGAGGAGGTGTATTCGTTAAATGTGACGTGTGTGTTCTAAATAATCTTCTTCGGCTGAAGAAACTTAAGTGACGTAGACATACTTACAGTTTGGAGTAAGTCATCTACAACCACTTGGCCTCATCTAATGTTGTCTTAAATGGAATATTTCCTGCTACGGTTAGCATACTTAAACGTGATATAAACACAGAGTTTAATTTAACTTGTATGAGAACGCCGGGACACAGTGAACTTTAATGTAGTGGTAAACGGCTAGAATCCTTCTATCCTAAATACCGCTGAACTGTAAAAATCTACAGCATCAAATGGAATGAATATTCTTGTTTCTTTAAGTTTTGTCGTTGCCAGTTACAGCTAACAGACAATGACAATAAAAGAACAATCATTACAACTGAATTACTTGTCGATCATTTGTCGTGTCTTGTTGTGTTTCATTATCGATACTTATTTCTCGTTATTTTTGTTATTTTGGACTCTTTACATCCCTGGAAGGGCCTCTTAAAATAGCAATTTACGTCCGACTGTTTACAGAAATTCAAGGTCCTAACGATCCAGTTTTATTATGCCATGTGCACATTTGAACTTTTTCGTCATTTATATTTTAAATTGTAAAACCAATCGTTGGAGGTACCTTTATATGGTTTTTAAAATTAAAGGTAAATGGCTGTTACAAGACAACATATAGGATGAGTGAGTAAAGTAATTAAAAATGTAATGTGTAAACTGTACTTGACAGTGGATGCATAGGTTAATTAACGGAGTAAATTGTAGAATGAATATGTCAAGGTACAAAGGAGATACAAAAAATCTGTTAATTTAAAACATTTTACCATAAATCCTAGAACTACGAAAATATGATCGATGTTTCTGTTGCAGGCTACGACAAGAGAAAAATGGTGGTGCATGGTGCCCAAAGGCACAGATTAGTAGCGAGGTGAGAGAGTTTCTGGAAGTGGATCTGATGCGACCTCACCTCATCATGTGCACGGAGACACAGGGCCGGTTTGGTAACGGGCAGGGACAGGAATACGCGGAGCAGTTCCTCGTCGAGTACTGGAGGGACACCCTCCAGCAGTGGACAGTCTACAAGGACTCGCGTGGTCACAAGGTACGCGATATGTTTGCTTTAATATTTATTCAAGCTGTTGAAATAAAATCATCGGTACCTCATGCATGAAACACATCACATAAAAAACAATTTAAAAAATAATTAGTGTAGAAATGTACATATACGCATAATATCTACGAAACTGAGCTCCGTCACAGTGAGACGGGAAGGGAAGATGAAAAGTGTAGGGGGAACATGACGCCATATGCGCAATCGCTTTCCCCCTCCCTGCTCCTCTACTGGCTTACCGTCAAAATGTGTATTTATAACGCTCAATGAAGCTCGGAGATATTTTGCGTCATGTATAATAAGGTTTCTTGTAACTCATCATTATCCTAAGCAGAATTTGTGTATAAAAATTTGTAGTATTCACCCATGAATATAATATTTTATCTTAATGTATGCATTTGAAGCGTTTAAATAATGCCAGTTAAATTCTAATTTCGTTACGCATTTATCTATGCAGTTCTTAACCTCATGAAACTTCATTTTTTTCTCAGTAGCTATTTATTATTTCCTGTACTAAAGTAAGATAAGATAAAACATTACTACTTCTGTTTCAAAGACACCATGAATTAGTGTTTTATGCTCATCAAACACGTTCTGTTTTTTTCGGGAATATTTTAAAGATAACCCTTCATATTTCTCTTTGGCGCTCAGTTATTATTAATTAAACATGAATGGACTTTCTTTCTGAGTAGTGTTCTCATTCCACTTATATCTAGACGTATTTATAGTTTAAAGTCAATAACATACCAGTTTACAAATAAGAGATATTTTAACATTTACATAAGCCTATTAGCATATTAGAAAGGTCAGGTGTAATACAATGTATAATTAATGAACATGTAGAAATCTTGTCTACAAGTACCTCCTACTTAGTTTATGCTTCTCCCCTACAGTGGTATTAAAATTAACGTCCATATTTTTCTCCCGTCCCAAACATTTATCTGACTGCAACATGAAATATGAAGTTGCATTTGGACATTGAATCATGAAACTATTGGTTCAACGAATTCAGAGATATGAAAAATTAAACATGTTTTTGCAAATGTTTGTGGGTGGCTTGTTTGGTGAGGTGTCTTTCTCATTCCCTAAGGACAGATTATGTCGTCTGATTACTTTTGTTAGGTGGGACATGTAGCGCACATGGGACAGATTAGAAACACGCTTAAAATTTCAATCGTGAATCCTAAAAAGCCACTTAAAAGACCAACGTAGATGGGAGTATGGATAATATTAAAACGAATCTTATATCAGTAGGATGTGTGGACTGGAATCATTTTGCCCAAAATAGAGACTACTGGTGGATTGTTATGAACATAGTAATGAATGTTAAATTTCTATAAAACGCAGGGAATTTATTGACTGTCTGAGTGACTATAATTTTCTTCAAACATATTCTGCATTTTTGAGTTAAAGTATTTTTGTCTGGTATCCTTATGGCGGTGGATATTTTGGTATTGCTGTTTTCGATTTTAAAGCCACGTGACCTTGTGGGTAGATACCAACCAGGGCTGACGCAGTGAAAATGAAGGCAGAAGGTTCCTCCGAACCTCTGATATTTACCTGCAAGTCCACACGGGTTTACACCTGAGACCAAATTCGACAGTAATTTTGTTGCAGATAATAGTCGCGACCATGCTTCTAAATAGACCACGACTCTTCCTTTCACATCCCTTCTGGACATCCTCATATCTTATTCTATGATGCATAATTTCTACAATTCATGCATTGAATATAAGTAAAGTAAGGAACTGTCATTAAGAGGGTTCTGTGTGTGTTAATGTTTTATGTCATAATTTTCCCTAATATTATTACACTATTCGACTGTCAATTAGTTTCTGCGGAAAACGTTTTGCCCCATAGACTGAACGTTTTCTCCTCTATATGACGCAGTACATACGAGAATCCCATTGCAGAACCTCTTTCGTTTCTATAGCTTCATACAAGGATTGTTTTGTGCTGTGTCTGAAATTGAAATGCAATATACCGAATATACAGACAGCGGAGAGCAAACAGTATTCTTCCCAGAAAGATCACTTTAATCCAGAAGAACTGATGAAAGCGAGACAGTGAGTGTGAATTGAGTTTTCTTCGACTGAAAACCGTTGCAGGACAATAAAGTGAATTTTTATTTACTTCAAATCGCTCTGAATTTAAAGCATTAACAAATATGCGTTATTGTTTTATGTCGTATAGTATTTGGCTTTATAATGTGGGGGCTATCGAATCTATTCCGTAAATTTTAGCAGCACGACATACAGGTAGTTTCTCTACTAAAATACGCAATATTTTTTTAGTTCAATCTGGATTCCTGTAATACGGGTTGTAATTAACGCGAAGGATTTGTCTGATAATGTAAAATCATCGTAATGTAAACGAGGACTCTGGATTTCTGTTTTGTATAATTTATTTATCAAGAAAGCCTCATCACAATGAAAAATGTTCCTTAAATACGTGAACTTTTTTTTTGATTTCACATCTATAACCGCGGTGACTGAAGTAATTACTAGAGCTTCTGTGGACGACTGACGCTAAAAGCTCTGGCCCTCTTAATCCACTTTCGTTTTGAAGAAAACAAACAACAGTAAAACGTCGGAACGTTTGTGCCAGTTACAGGGTCCAACAACTCAAAAGACAGCCATGCACATACTCGGCGACGTGAATACAGGAAATCTCAAAATATTTTAAAACCCTTCGCATTTATAATAGGAATTATTCCTGGTCATGTTTTAAACAAAGACTGCTATATATATATGACAAGTAAAGCAAATGCATTTTTCTGTAAGTGGATGCTTCTTATAAAACAGTACAGTGTCATCGTATCTGCAGCACAGAATTTTTGTCCTCCAGCTACAAGAATACCAAGACTGCTTCTCGCGAAATACAATACACACAAACAGGAGGACGAAGAATATAAAGTTGCACTCCGCATTTGAATAATCGATCTTTTTATACGTCTCTCTTCTCTTAGCGTCTTTCTTGCTACTGCACTCACAGGGTAGTCTATGGGAGTTTTGTGTTGGTAGTCTGGAGACCTAGAGGGAAGTTCTTGGAAGGCAGAGAGAACAGAACACTCAGGGGTCCCTCGAGCGCTTTTCCTCGCTTCTTTCTCCGGTTCAGAGTCTTAAGTCTGGTTGGTTGGTTGGTTGGTTAGTTGGTGTGTTCCTCTGCCCTCTTGGCTGCCTTTCGAGCCTTTTCCGATATACGCCCACAGCACACCGTCCCTTCCCGAGCCCAAGTATTCGGGAAACTTTTACATTTTACTCTCCTGAAAATATTTACCACAATTACTTAGGAAAACATGGAATATCAGAGCTTTCCAGTGAGAGAAATTGTATGTCTTAACGATATCTAAACAATATTTTTATTTAAATTGAATCTTTAGATTCACGGTTTAGAGCGTATATTGAAATGTACCACGTTTTTTTCAGATATTTAACCGTGTTCTGTTTTCTTCTAAAAATCTCAATACATTTCCAGGGAAATCACCTATTAATATGTGGACTAACTTGTTAGTCCAACAGAACGCCAAAATTCACCAACTAAGTTAGTCATTCATAGTTTACAGTAAACCCTTGTCCATCGCGGGAGAACCGCCCATCGAATGTGGCCCTTTCAGTGAATCCGCATTGTACGAGCTTAATATTGTATGAGATTAATGGGGATACGGGAACGCAGTCGTAGGAAGTCGGAATAAATAAAACGAACAATCCTAGTTGTACTCTAATGATACTTATTCATGGACAAACTGTGTAATAAAGAAAGTGTCGTTGGGAAATTAAGTATTCAAGTAAAATATCATCGGGAATTTAGACTTTAAAATAAGGTATGAACTGAATGTTAGGCACTGAGATAAAATATAAAAATATATAATAATATGGTCAGTCATAGAACTCGATCTTGTCGGACCGTCTTTATCTGTCTGAGTTGGAATTTATAAAATTTGTCTTCTTTGTCCTGTTAGTAATTAAACCACAATTTGAAGTAATGTAATTTGTTTTTATACGAACATGGCGTAAATAAACTTGTTTTCACTAAGTATCTAACTCAATAGAACATATTTCTAGAGAAAGAAATAGTAGCTCTTTTATGGAATTTTAAAGCTCATTACCTCACTCATAATATCACGTATTTGACCTTAAACTGAGCTGTATGTATGTATTAATTCCTCACCCTCTTAAGCATATTCAAATTTACACATCGTGATGGGGGCACGTGTCCTACGGCGAGAACAGATACGCCCAAGCAAGTGTCTCCACGACGTCATCCATCGGGGTGCAGGAAAACTAACCCGGACTGTAACTGGGAGGAGTAGCTTAATCAATCAACCTCACTTTCGTTTCGAGAGGTCGCGTACGCCTTGTAAATGCCATCGGTAACCGCTGCTTGAAGAGAAAGTGCATTAACCATTTAGAGTTTTGTTATGTTGCGCTGTCTTGACATTAAGAAACCACCAAGCGGCTAGGCATCGCAGCTTGTAAACTAACACTGCATTTTCAACATAATAGCACAAAAAATCATGACATTTCCGGTTTTCACAGAAGCGAGTATGAAGATCGCTGTCCTCTTTGTTGTCGGCACCGAGGCAGCAAGCACCTCTGAAACGTCGGTAAACTTCTACCATATTACTCGGTGCAATAACTTAGAACACAGTTACGATTTAAATAGATGTCCTGTATAATATTTTGAATGATCTGTATTATCCAAGGAACTTGTTTGGTTAATTAGCCTGCATGTATGAAGTGTCTCGTAGAATTCGTATTTTAAGAATTGTAAATTTGTCTTTATTAAAGCATGTAGAGAATATTGTGAACAGATATTTTGGAGAGTATTCCACCGCCCCTTCAACTTCATATAGCATTTGAAGATTGTGTACCGTGTGATGATGTCACGTGAAACATTCTGTTTCCATCTCGTCAAGCGAGAGATCTCATTTATTCATTCTTCAAAAGAAAACATAAGAGACGTTAGAATAAAATGAATCATGTAACTAG